GAATTTACTTTGGAAGCTAGAGTTAACACTAATTTCTGAAGTATTTTTTAGGTGGCTAACTTAAAAAAAAAAAAACAGAAACAAAACCTCTCGATAACTGGACTATAGACAATTGCTAAAAGGGCTTTCTACTTGTATTCAAAAGGTAGGTAGGTAAGCTACATGACAGAAGTTGAATTTCTAGTTAATATGAAGGGTCAGTAATATCCATATTGTCCACAACTGTCTGCAAAACACTGAATTACAAAAACAGTGCTACATAATTAAATTGAGAAATTTGATGACTGTGGTTGATGATGAAGGTCAGTTAAACTTAGGGATATTATAAAACAATCTATTCAAAATCAGTATTTCTCGAATCCCATGTCTATATAATGTGGAATAGGGAAGAACGTCTTAAAACAGAAAAAACACAAATCATAAAGAGAAAAGACAGATAAACCTATCTTAAAATGGAAAGGCTTTGTAGTTTAAAAGACACCAATAAAAAATCATGGTCCAGCTGGGCACATTGGCTCACACCTGTAATTCCAGCACTTTGGGAGGAGGCCGAGGCAGGTGGATCACTTGAGGTCAGAAGTTCAAGACCAGCCTGGCCAACATGGCAAAACCCCATCTCTACTAAAAATACAAAAATTAGCTGGGTGTGGTGGTACAAGTCTGTAATCTCAGCTACTCGGGAAGCTGAGGTGGGAGAATCGCTTGAGCCCGGGAGGAGGAGGTTGCGGTGAGTCAAGATCACATCACTGCATTCCAGCCTGGGCGACAGAGCGAGACTCCACCTCAGGAAAAAAAAAAAAAAAAAAAAAAAGGTCCATGGCTCATCTGTACTGAAAGCACCTGGACCTTTAAATAAAAAATGTAAAATCCTGCATCCCACCCCAAACCATGAAGTTGTTTAACAAATTTTTCAAATAATTCCAACATGTTTTTAAGTATAAAAGCCATGTTTTAAAATAAATTTGTATTGAAATACAGTTGTGAAAGTTGACTCAATAATCCTTTTGTGCACCACACATTTATTGATGGTCTACTTAAATGTGTATTCACAGTCTAGCTATTACTGATGTATGGTCACTTCTAACTCCCAGGTTCAAATTAGAACTGGGCTACAGAAGAAAACAATGATCCTTTATTTATTTCAAAGCCAAGCGTAAACATTATTCAGTTATTCCAGATTACCCAAATCAAGGTTCTCTCCCAGCAGTAAAAGTAATCAATACCTATTTCATTGCCCAAGTGGGTGAAAAAATAGGCATATACCAAATATATCCTTTTTCATTGTAAACTTAAAATTTACTTAGAAGGCTACAGCTAACACTATTTTCTAAAGTATTATTATTAAAGTGGCTAATTTAACTTAAAAAACAATAAAACAGAAACAAAAGTCCTCTCACGGGGCCATGATCTTTAAAATATAACCTTACAAATCTCTGCAATACATAAACATATATATGTCATGAAATGACCTAATTTTGAAAAGAACCACATTACCTCTCTCTTTTCCTAAACTTACTACTGCATAAAAATTTTCTTGGCTGGGCGCAGTGGCTCACGCCTGTAATCCCAGCACTTTGGGAGGCCAAGGCGGGCAGATCACAAGGTCAGGAGATCAAGACCATCCTGGCTAACACAGGGAAACCCCATCTCTACTAAAAATACAAAAAAAATTAGCCGGGCATGGTGACAGGCGCCTGTAGTCCCAGCTACTCGGAAGGCTGAGGCAGGAGAATGGTGTGAACCCAGGAGGCCGAGCTTGCAATGAGCTGAGATGTGCCACTGCACTCCAGCCTGGGCAACAGAGCGAGACTCCGTCTAAAAAAAGAAAAGAATTTTTTTTTTTCCCAGAAGATTCTTTTCTCTCTTTTTCTTTCTTTCTAGTGGAAGAAGGAAAACTAAATTTTCAGAATTGTCTGTAGACAACGTTCACCAAGATTTAAACTTTTATTTTGGGTAGAAACACAGACCTGGAAGAAGCCTTGAAAAGTCACAGGGTTCAGCATTAAGGCAAGCTCACAGGTAAATCCTATGAAAATGGTAAGTTAAACATTTTTTTCTTAAAAAAGTATTAACATTGGCCGGGTGTGGTGGCTCATGCCTGTAATCCCAGCACTTTGGGAGGCCAAGGTGGGTGGATCACGAGGTCAGAAATTCGAGACCAGTCTGGCCAACATGGTGAAACCCCATCTCTACTAAAAATACACGGTGGCGGGTGCCTGTAATACCAGCTACTTGGGAGGCTAAGGCAGGTGAATCACTTGAACCCAGGAGGCGGAGTTTGCAGTGAGCCGAGATTGCACCACTGCACTCTAGCCTGGGTGACAGAGTGAGACTCCATCTCAAAAAAAAAAAAAAGAAAGTAGGCAGGGCACGGTGGCTCAAGCCTGTAATCCCAGCACTTTGGGAGGTTGAGATGGGTGGATCACGAGGTCAGGAGATCGAGACCATCCTGGCTAACATGGTGAAACCCTGTCTCTACTAAAAATACACAAAGATGAGCCAGGCGTGGTAGCAGTCGCCTGTAGTCCCAGCTACTCAGGAGGCTGAGGCAGGAGAACAGCATGAACCTGGGAGGCAGAGCTTGCAGTGAGCCGAGATCACGCCACTGCACTCCAGCCTGGGCAACAGAGCAAGACTCCATCTCAAAAAAAAGTATTAACATTAAAGCATCATTATAACACTTAACTTCATTTGGTAGTCTTTTTTTTCTTTTTTTGAGACAGTCTCTCGCTTTGTCACCCAGGCTCGAGTGCAGTGGCACAATCTCAGCTTACTGTAATCTCTACCTCCCAGGTTCAAGTGATCCTCCTGCCTCAGACTCCCGAGTAGCTGGGACCACCACACCTGGCTAATTTTCATATTTTTAGTAGAGACAGGGTTTTGCCATGTTGGCCAGGGTGGTCTCAAACTCCTGACCTCAGGTGATCTGCTTGCCTTGGCCTCCCAAAGTGCTGGGATTACCGGCATGAGCCACCATGCCCAGCTAGGTTTAGTAGTCTATTATTTTACTGGCTATCAACAATTCTCTCATATCTATTTGTTTTAATTGAAAGCATTTCTGTTCAATCTCTGAAGACAGAAAAGAAACAGTACATTATTCTTTATATAAACTGTTTATAACTGGCAACAACAAATTGAGTCTTCCCTTGCCTTTTTTTAGACGAAACAACTCTATTCCTTTAGCTTTTCCCTTAGGAGGTAAAAGACAATTTTTCTGGTGAGTTTTTATTTCCTACTCCATAATTTACTTTGTCTTTTCTATTTTTACTCACCAAGTTCTTTTTTCTTGTTTTTTAAAGGTGTCTACTTCCCATTATTCTTAAATTTACTCCAAGTTCTAAAGTGCCAATCTAAGTGTTTCTGTTTGTTAATTTTTGTAACTCCCAACTGTCTTAAGAGGACTCAGACCTTATTCTCTACTCCTAGAATTCTTTGTTAACCATTTCCACTTGCCCAAGTTCACTTCATACATGCCTGAGAACCTGGTATCCTTTTACAAAAAAGCACAGGGATTCTGAGACCAAGGAATCCTCCAAAGCATGTATCAAGTAACATTCCAGATTCCAAAAGTATTCCACTAACCTTCCCTCTCCCCACAAAACAGATTCATTAAAATATAGCTATCTACCCAGAGTATCAGAGCAAAAGATACAGCTGTTTACCCATTAAAAGGTTAAGGACACAGGGCTGGATGCAGTGGTTCACACCAGTAATCCCAGCATTTCGGGAGGCTGACACAGGAGTATCGCTTGAGCTCAGGAGTTTGAGACCAGACTGAGCCACATGCCTACGAAAAATTTAAAAACTGCCAGACACAGTGGCTCATGCCTGTAATCCTAACACTTTGGGAGGCCAAGGTGGGTGGATCATTTGAGGTCAGGAGTTTGAGACCAGCCTGGCCAACATGGTGAAATCCTGTCTCTACTAAAAATACAAAAAAAATCAGCTGGGCATGGTAGCACATGCCTGTAATCCCAGCTACTTGGGAGGCTAAGGCAGGAGAATCACTTGAACCCAGGAGACAGAGATTGCAGTGAGCCAAGATCATGCCACTGTATTCTAGCCTTGGCAACACAGTGAGACTCCATCTCAAAAAAAAAAAAAAAAGTAAAAATTAGCCAGCCATGGTGGCTCACATCTGTATGCCAGCTACTCAGGAAACTGAGGTGAGAGAATCACTTGACCCTAGGAGTTTGAGGCTGCAGTGAGCCATGACTGCACCACTGTACTTCAGCCCAGGCAACAGAATGAGACTCTGTCTCAAAAAAAAGTAAAAAAACAAAATCAATCCCGAAAAAAAAAAAAAAAAAACTTTAAAAAATTCTGTTATACAACAGAGTCTGCATCAATAGCTACCAGAAAAAGCTTGCCGTCTACCTGCCCAGGTGTAATTTTCATCACCCACCTTGTTTCAATGAGGTAAGCGGTATATGTTTCTTGCATGTTCATGGCATTTCTTCCAGTTCGTTTTTCTGCTTCTGAAACACTGATTTCTATCTTCTTCAACCAAAAATTATTGTGTGTCATCTGGACAAAACAACAACAACAACAAAAAACTCTTTAAGATGGTACTGAAAAAAGCCTCAGCCACATAAATTAAACCCATTATTGGGTTTACATATTTCAAAATAGTTACTTATAGTTCTTGAGTTGCCAGGGGTTGCAAAATGACAGCAGCAAATGATAGCCTTTATCAACATACAAAAGTACATTAACTTTTCCAGAGGTATTTTATTTATATATGTATTTATTTTTATTTTTTGACACCAAGTCTCTATCACCCAGGCTGAAGTGCACTGGTGCAATCTCAGCTCACTGCAACCTTCACCTCCTGGGTTCAAGGGATTCTCCTGCCTGTCTCCCAAGTAGCTGGGATTATAGGCATGCACCACCACGCTCAGCTGACTTTGGTATTTTCAGTAGAAACGGGGTTTCACCATGTTGACCAGGATGGTCTCAAACTCCTGACCTCAGGTGATCCACCTGCCTTGGCCTCCCAAAGTGCTGGGATTATAGGCATGAGCCACTGCGCCTGGCCTTCCAGAGGTAGTTTAAAAGGTACTATATGTTGAATGATTAAAATTTAGACATTTCATAAGTGACCAAGAATAATCTATAAAAATACATAAGAAAATATCTTAAAAACACATTAGACACAAAGGATTCTGGGAGGATAGTGAATAGGAAGCACCAGGAATCCATCTCCCCACCTAGATGACAACTGCACTGGCAGACCCTATCTGATGTAAGTATTTGGGAACTCTGGAGTCCAATAAAGGCTTGCAATCCCCAGGGGAAGGCTTGGATGACAAAATGTGGTTACTTTCAATCAATTTCAGCTACCTATCCCTTAGTGCCTAACAGGCAGCTGTGCAGCATTCCTGGAACAGCCTGATGAAGCCAGGGTAGGCAAAAAGGGCCTTTTTCTCCAAACATCCATGATCTGTCCTCTGATCACCAACTGCTTCTTCTAAGAGGCACAAAGAAGTAGTGGCCACTGCTGTTGCTCCTCCCCACACTGTTGCAAGCCTCCTGTCCTGGCTGAAGTGACTTCCAGGGGATTCAAAAGCCAGCATCCTGTTTTTCCTCCCTTCATTTTTATTTTGACCCTCTTTTGTAAGCCAGACATTTAGCCAGGTGTGGTAGTGTGTGCCTTTAGTTCTGGCTACTAAGGAGGCTGAGGCAGGTAGATCAGTTCAGCAAAGGAGGTCAAAACTAGCCTGGGAAACATAGGAAGACCTTGTCTCTCAAAAAGAAAAAATTGGACGTTTAAGAACAACTGGATAGATGAGGACAATTAGAAAATAATCATACATGCCCAGGAAAAGGCTCAAGCTCAGGAAAGATCTCTAAAGACTTTAAGTTTACACCTCTCTCAGGCTGATCTTTGGCATGGAGACAGTCCACAGCAATTAAAAAATAAATAATAAATAACAAAAACAACAACCCGCAGGGTAGGAGAAGAATTTGATGTCCAGAGTTACCACATTATTACATGCAAATGCCTAGTTTTCAACAACAAAAAAATCACAAGGCATATAAAGAAACAGCGTGGTATGAACCCTTCAGAGGGAAAAAATACATCAACAGAAACTGCTCCTGAAAAAGACATGATGACAGATCTACTAGAAAAAGACTTTACCCCTTTACCCCCTTTTTCATTTCTTTTTTCTTTTTTTTTTTTTTAGACAGAGTCTAGCTTTGTCACCCAGGCTGGATTGCTGTGGTGCAACCTCCGGCTCCTGGGTTCAAGCGATTCCTGTGCTTCAGCCTCCTGAGTAGCTGGGATTACAGGCGTGTGCCACCACACCGGGCTAATTTTTTTTTTTTTGAGACAGAGTCTTGCTGTATCGCCAGGCCGGAGTCCAGTGGTGCGATCTCAGCTCGCTGCAACCTCCACCTCTGGGTTCAAGGGATTCTCCTGCCTTAGCCTCCAGAGTAGCTGAAACTACAGGCCATGTTGTCCAGGCTGGTCTTGAAGTCCTTGGTTCAAATGATCCACAAGCCTCAGTTTTCCAAGCTGCTGGCATTACAGGCAGGAGCTACCATGCCTGGCTGACAAAGACTTTAAAGTAATCACCTTATAGATGCTCAGACAACTTAAAGGAAGATGTGGAGAAAGTAAAAAAAATGATTAAAAAAAAAAAAGATGTATGAACAAAACAGAAGTATCAGTACAGAGACAGAAAACTTAAAAAGAAACCAAAAAGTGGCCAGGCATGGTGGTTCACGCCTGTAATCCCAGCACTTTGGGAGGCTGAGGTCAGGAGTTCAAGACCAGTCTAGTCAACATGTTGAAACCCCGTCTTTACTGAAAATATAAAAACTAGCCGGGCGTGGTGGCAGGCACTTGTAATCCCAGCTACTCAGGAGACTGAGGCATGGAGAATTACTCGAACCTGGGAGGCAGAGGTTGCAGTGAGCAAAGATCATGCCACTGTACTCCAGCCTCGGTGATAGGGCAAGAAAAAGAAAAAAGAAACCAAAAGAAATTCCGGAGCTGGAAAGTACAGTAACTGAAATTAAAAGTTCACTAGAGGGGTTAAAAGGCAAATTTCAGCAGGCACAAGAGAGAACTGGCAAACCAGAAGATAGGAGAATGGAAATTACCAAGTCCGAGGAACAGAAAAAAGAGGGAAGGAAAGTAAACAGAGCTTAAGGGATAAGCAGGACACCATCAAACCAACATGTGCACTCTGGTAGTAAGGAGAGGGAGAGAGAAAAAGGGGAAGGGACAGTATCTGAAGAAATAATGGTAGAAAATTTCACAAATATGATAGAAGAAATGTATATAAATATCCAAGAAGCTTGACAAAATCCAAAATAAGATGTTTACTGAGACACCTTATAACTTTTCAGAGACAGAATCTTGACAGCAGCAAGACAGAAGCAACTGATCATATATAAGGAATCTTCAATAAGGTTATCAGCAAATTTCTCATCAGAAATTTTGGAGGCCAGAAGACAGGGAGCCGATATCTTCAAAGTGCTAAAAAATAACAATAACTGTCAATCCAGAATCCTATATCTAGCAAACTGTCCTTCAAAAGTGTAGGAAAAATTAAGACATTCCCAGAGGCAGGAGAATCGCTTGAACCCAGGAGGCAGAGGTTGCAGTGAGCCAAGATCGCGCCACTGAACTCTAGTCTGGGCAACAGTCAGGCTCCGTCTCAAAAAAACAAAACAAAAAAATTAATGAAAACGAAATTATAAAAATAAGTCAATTTACAATAGCATCAAAAAGAAAAAAATACTTGGGAATTAAGGTGGTAAAAGACTTGTACAATGGAAACTAAAACATTGCTAGAAATTAAAAGAAGATAAATAAATGAAAACACATCCCATGTTCATGATTTGGAAGATTTAATATTATTAAGATATCAAAACTACCTAAAGCACTCTATATATTCAATGCAAACCCTATGAAAATCCCAATGGCATTCTTTGACATTCTTTGCAGAAATAGGAAAACTCATCCTAAGAGTCATATGGAATCTCAAGGGACCCCAAATAGCCAAAGCAATCTTGAAAATGAAGCATAAGGCCGGGCGCAGTGGCTTATGCCTGTAATCCCAGCACTTTGGGAGACCAGGGTGGGCAGATCACGAGGTCAGGAGATCGAGACAATCCTGATTAACACGGTGAAACACCGTCTCTACTAAAAATACACAAAATTAGCCAGGCGTGGTGGCGGGCACCTGTAGTCCCAGCTACTCAGGAGGCTGAGGCAGGAGAATGGTGTGAACCCGGGAGGCGGAGCTTGCAGTGAGC